TTGAAATTGTTTCATTGATAAATTATTTACTAGTAATTTATTACTGTTCATTATGGAATATTACTTTTGTTGTGTCACCACGTTCACTTTGAATTTAATTTGTTCAAATAATATCTGAGACTTTCAACTTAGCAATGCAGATTTAATTTCTTTCTCGTGACTGCAGTTATTGTGATTACTTTATTACTTGTAATTTACTGGAGAGAAATTCTATTTTCACTTTCGTTGAACGAACGACACTCGCTCGTTTAGGAAAATAAACGATAATCAAAGACAATTTAATGAGTATACATTTCATTTGATACTTTGAACTTAGAATTATATATTAAATTTTCTTTTTATAGATTATTAATAGAATGATTGTATCGAGAGAAATTATAGGTATAATTTCAACGTCTGAAAGTTGAAATCGTTGGACAGAGTAACTGGCAATTAAATAATTAAGTAATTACACAATTAAACGTGTTACGTGTAATATAAAAACAGTTTAACCGATTCAACTCGTTCCTGTGTCTCGTATATAATTGTGTAAAACGAGATTTTAATTAATGTTTAATTAAAGGAAAGATAATTTACGGTAAATTAAAACAGTTCAAAACTGAATTCGTCGAAAAGAGACCTTATAACAGAGTTCACTACAAAACAGAAATTACTGCACTGTAACCGTTGACTTTCACTGGAAGTTTGCGATAAAACGTGAACTATGACAACTGTCTACGAGTAAATCACGCCTGTGTCTCACCCCTTGACCTTATTCGTCGTTTTCACTCCGCTGAGAACAAAAGGATTCCCGTAAACGTCCGCTTGGACGTTCATCTTTCAGTCCTTCATTGTACAAGGATCGTTTCATAATTAATAATCTGATCCAAGAGAAAAATTTCCTTCAAAAATATGCCTTTTCTTTTCATTGGAACATCTAACTCATGAAATCCAACTTATTGAACTATACCTTGGAGCCAAGAAAATTATCTTTGAGTCCCAGACATTAATTACTCAAATTACTTTAAAATTAATATGACCCAGATAATTATTACTTAAAATTAATACCCAGACATTAATTCGCTCAGTTTCTTATTGTCTTCATCTAAACACATAGTCAGCAACGAAAGCGTTTGAACAGTATAGCAAGAAATAAATAAACTGTTAAAATTAGTTGAATTAGAAAATGATTAAGCTATTAAAATGAGTAAAATTAAATTATTCAAATTATAAAGGAATTATCATTTAAAAGATTGTACACTGAATACTGCTATTCATTGAAACAAATGTAGCAGTTTTGAAGATATTTACCAATATGCAAGCAAATTACATATATGTAACACTTATTATATCTAAGCATGTATAATATTAGAATACTTTCGTTGCTGACTATAAGTCGCCCCAATATAAAACGACAGCTGTTTCTTATGCAATGGCATAAAATAAAAATGAAATGATTTGATTGCAGAGATGAGCGGTTCTCGACTTGGCAGGGGCCGGGGTGGCCGCCTGGCCGTGTATGGGGGTTGCGGGGTGGTGGTTGTTCTCCTGGTGTTCCTCTATCGTGCCACCACCTTGGAAATGGCCAGGCTAAGAGAACTTCATGACCAGTGCACCCACCAACAAGGTGCCCTTGCTGCTCAACTTCAAGGTATTAATCCCAAAGTGTTCCTAACTTGAGACACTCGTATACAAACTAAAAAAACCAGGGAAAACAGTAAATTAGAATTCTATAGAATAATTGAACTAAAGTAATACCTCGTGCGAAGACACTGTAACGGAGCTCTCTGATTTTTAGTTATATTTGAGTACAAAATGCGTCTTGAGAAGTCCCTAGCAGAAGAGAAGAGTTCCAACGCAGCGGTGAAGCAGGAGCTGCAGCAGCGTGCCTCCAGAGAGAAGTCTCTCCGCGACAAAGACGGCAGGGAGGCGATGCAGAGGTTCGAGTCCCTGCAGCAGACCTACAAGATCCTGCAGTCAGAGCAGCAGGACCTGCGGGAGGAGTGCAAGAAACACGAGACTCAGGCGTTGGAGGATATGAACAAGCTGGAAGCCACGCTTCAGAAGTTACGCAGTCACATGAAGCAGCTGAAAGAGGAGAAAGAGAAGAACGATAAGGCCTTGGAGGACCTGAAGAACAAGTACCTGGAGCTGGACACTGAGAAGACCAGGCTCGAAAACAAGTACAAGGACCTATTGCAGAGCCACGACGACACGGACAGCACTATCGAACACCTGAAGAAGGAAGTGTTTCAGTTGACTCGCCAGGTGGAGGATCTCAAGGTACAAACTGACTTTTCCTTTCTCTTGGCAGAAAAATAGCGTTATAGAAAATCTTTTAAGCTTCTCGTGGCTGACAATGTGCACCATAGAATAACACCATTAGATTCGATGTAACAAAATTACGAAGTGTTGTATATAAAATAGCATTGTTTCTTAATTTACTATGTTTCCTCTTTAGTTCGTTTCAAACTGTGCCATGCAGACGACATTTTCTTAGATTGAATTAAGGAAGCTCACATGCATTGAGGGAGAGAACTATTTTCTTTCGATATTTCGTACATTGATGCAACGCACAAAGTTTAATATTAAATGTCAAAATTTACAGTTTTGCTGTGTCAAATCATTTGGTAGCTTAGAGGCGCCTCTGGCGTGCAAAGGGTGAATCCTTTGTACTCGAGAGGTGACTCTCCCATTAGATTCGATGTAACAAAATTACAAAATGCTGTATACGAGTTTTGTAAATGCATCGATATGTGAGATGTTTATATAAAATAGCATTGTTTCTTGATTTACTATGGTTCCTCGTTAGTTCGTTTCAAACTGTGCCATGTTTCATCGGGAAGTGTCAAATGTTTCTAGTGAAGAAATTCCGAGTGCAAAAGGTTAACTGTGTAATTAATTATAAGTATCAATGAAGAATCGATCATCCAACGAAAACGACACAGAAAGAAATGATATAAATTCCAAGTGAAACTAGAAGTTTGAACAATATAATTAACAGAACAGAATTACGGAAGAAAATCGGTTTTCCTATCGAATATTATTAACCCTTAGTACTCCGAGTTGTTTTGTAATCAGTAACTGTAACTAATTTGTATAATATTCCTAGCGAAAATAAGAAATATAACATTCCTCCGATCTTTTATTTTCCTTAGTGCAAAATTTGGATGCGTGGAAAATCGAATAATTTTAGGGTAGTTTAAGATTCATTAAAATATTTAATATAACTGGTGCAACATTGGAGCGTTCAGAATTCAAAGGGTTAAAATAACGCTGATCAATATTCAGCGCGATGACAAGCTTTAATCATTCAATCGTTCTGTCGCCAGAAATTCAAAGCAGTTTCGCCTGGTCCCTCCCAGAAAACCGAGCAACAAGTGAAACCGGCGGAGGGCTCGTCGCAACAACAACAGGTAAGTCTGCCGAACAACGATGATAAAAACCCGCAGCCCCTACACGCGCCCCTTAACCACCACGCGATCGGCGATCCCCTGCAATCGGTTAACCAACTAGCGATCGAGGAGGCGAACGAGAACAACATTCGTTTCGCCCAGAAGAACGGGAACATCGTACCGGTGGGCGCGAACGAGGGCAAGGAGGGCGAGTTACAAGACTCGTTGCCAATGCCGTACGATTTACAGAAGAACCAAATCGAGGTAGAGAACGCGGCGGCCAATATCGACGGTAAACTGAATAAAACGAATGACGCCGACGTTGACGACGAACAGCTGAGACAGGTGATACCGCCGCCCAATCAGAAAAACGAAAGGGTCGACGAGAGAAAGTCCTCGTCGAGCACGCCGAATCAGCAGGCTCCTTCATAAAGAAGAACGTCGATCCGCCTGATTATCTGGAAGAGAAAGAAGCCGATGAAACGTTGGAGAAGAGTGATTAACTTGGACGAAGATAAGAAATTGAACTTGGAGATCGTGTATGCAAGGTCTTCGGTACTTTCTTTTTTCTGTTGAGAGAACGTGCTTCGACGAGGATCGCCTTCAAGAGGAGACGTGTGACGAGGAGAAGCAACTTGCAATTTCGCAATCAATCCTTTTGACGAATGGTTTTTACTGTTAGCTCAGGTGTTCGCTGTGATTGTTTCTGAAAGGCACAAATGGTGTATGTACGTACATTACACGTGTTCGATGGAAGCACTTGGAAGTAACGTTTTACGAGCGGAGAACTGTTATATTAGAAAGAAATGTTTCTCTCCAGCCTGCGGAAGGTTTGGGAAAAAGTGCCTTGAAGCACCGTCGTTGATTAATGGCTTTCGTCGGGGGTCAGAGATATTCTTTTGGTGTAACTTTTTTAACTGGTAACATTTACACATGCACGTAAATCGCATGGTTTGTAATGGGTGCTGTAGATAGATATGATTTCTCCTTAGCCGGTTAGAACGATTCTGAGAGGAGTCAATGGAATTGGTTTCTCTTTAGTAAATTGTTAGTAGATTAAGGTATAGAATTATGCGGTGACGTCCGTGAGGGACAATTTGTTTTGCGAAAGGCGTTTATAGGATACTGTCGAAGTGGCCGAGAGAGGTTGTACGCGTACACCGACATTATTTAAACGAGACGGATATTAAACCGTGTAATTGCATGAGATCGGAATTTAGCTATTAATTTTCCTTTCTCTCTCATGTTTTTGTTTCCTCTGTTTAATGTAACGGTTTCTATTTTACTTTTTAAGAACTGATGCGAGTCGCATTGTTGTCGGATATAGTTTCTAGTTAAGTAAGGTGACGAGAAGAGTGACCAGTGCCAAGAGTGTGAAATTTCAATGAGATGTCGCAGAGTACAGAACGCTATAAAAATAAGTGAATAATTATGGAAAGTTTGTGTACACAAATATTTATACGCTACTATCTGAAAAGCTAACAGATGTATTGATTTGTCTCCACTGATCTGTCGAAGCAAAAAGTAAAAAAACCATTTTTACAATTAGACATTAACATTTATACTTATGTAAGCTTTCCTACTAAGAATTTGATCAAGTGCAATATTTTAGACACTTGTAACAAAGAACAACTTACAGGGATTTTTT